CTGCACTGGAGTTCCATTTTTGGAAAATACTTTCAATCGTCCCTAAGCACGATTTTACATCAACCAAATGTTTTTGGTTTTGTGTTTGTTTCTTTGTCAGATTGTCTTATGTTCCTTTCTGAAAAGTTTCAGCTCTCTTGAAGACTGAATCTTCTAAATGGTAAAACTATTCCAATTTTTTCTCGCATTCGTATCCGTAAAACCGTTTATATTTATGGCAAGTTGATCTTTTAAGAGCGAATATGACTCGCAACACTTTCAGTAGCTTCTTTAGCTTCCTTTAATTTCTCCTCTAAGGTAGCTATTGGAAAGGTTATTTTCCCAGCAATCTTCTAAATTTCTGCAACGTTTCAATGGTTAACAATAGCACAAGTACTGCAGCAAAGCTTCTTTTCATTTACTTAAACATGGTTTACACAACGTTTCATTCACACGACCAGGAACTTGATCGTCTTCTTCTATTTTACTTCCACTTTCTGTCATTTTGTATAGTGTCCCAATTTGAGAAATTAATTAAAATCTTAAATCTCGAGGTCAATATTCAGCGGCACTGTATAAAAGCTTCATTATATCTTGTTCTGATCCAAACGTTATCTGTCTAATGTTAACATTTCGTTACTTTAATCAACAGACCTATTCGGAACGCGGAAGTTAAAGATCTAAGATTGTTTTTTTCAATTACATTTAAGAGATATATTTGTTTTCAGTGAATACGAGTAAAAACGAAACTATGACTACTGTGTCTCAATTTGTTAAATGCATGAAAATAACCTTTACAGTATTTTTTGTTTACGGAAGATATGTTAACTTACCTGAATGATAAATATACAATACCAATGATATTAATTCATTTTCAGCTTAATGTATCGAATAAATTTATCCAGCTTTAAACTTGAAACAGTTCTTATGACAATTGCGGGTTTTAAAAATATATTTAAAAAAAATACCAACTGTACAGAGATTAAATCGGCTGCACGGATGTGCCGACTGTCCCAGCTCTTTACAGGTTCCAAAGGCTAATCACTTTCGATTAAAGAAGTAATGGCTTACCCAAGTAAGAATAAGGGTAAAGAGTAGAGTTTTAATCAATATTGTCAATATTTCACGGTAAAGATCTGTTAATTAATCAGGGGAGAAAATGTGTAAGGTCGGTCAGAGAGCTCAGTTGGTAGAATCGCCGAACGATATTCCGAGTATTCTGGGTTCGAGTATTTCTTAGCCTTCACATTTTCCCTACACAGTGACCATCATAAACTCTTTCTACAGAACCACATCGCATATACATCTATTATATGACAACTAACACTGTAACAAAGAAACAAATATGTATCAGAGTTCCAAAACATGTATAACTACCTCTTGGCACAGGTTCGTTTATTTAATCGTTCTATGATTAGATCCTAGAAAACATAAATATTTACAAAAATAGATAAGAATAGATAAAAATACAATATCACAGCAATTGAGCGATGTGAGTAATGCTAGAAATCAGCTTGACAATACCTTAAACTATTTCAAATTATGTTCGGGAAAGTACCAAATTGAATTGTTATGGACTTACGTGCTCGGGTACAGTTCAAATAAAGAAAATTTAAAGCAAAGCGCTGCAAGCACTAGAGAATTCTTTGCTTCACTCCTTCTATCTTTTCTTAGCCATGTTAAAATGTATTTAATCCTTTTTTAATTGAATAATTGAATCGTCGGGAAAATAATAGAAAATCGTTTTCCAAAAATAACAAAGCGGCAAATAACCTATATTATAGTTAACAATAGTTGAATTTTGCAAATATTGTTTTATTAATCGAAGACAAGATGTTGAAAATGAAAGATAGTTAATATTCACAAATGTGCCACGTAACACGTACATGGTACTGTAACACATTTATGGTATTATAACACATACGCAAAATCGAAACACGTACATGACACAGTGCATGATACTATGACTCGTACATGATATTGTAACATAAACATGGTATGTAACACGTACATGGTACTGTACCACGTACGTATAATGGCACATACTCAGTATCAAGACACGAACATGAAACTGAAACACTGTATATGATACTATGACACCTATATAACTGGAACATAGTATTGTAAAACGTATGAACATAATAAAACGCACATGTACATGGTATTATGACACCTAATGGTGCCGATAGAGGTACATAATACATGAACAATGACCAGCAAATAAAACAGTTTATTGCCTATATATCTGTTTTACTCTGGTTAACTCTGTTTTACCAAAGTGTTACTAAATATCATAGGAGTTGGGGTATAGCCCTATTTTATCCTTTGTCTTATGGACATGATACAGGAAATATGCTAAAGCAATATCAATATTTATCCGGTTTTAATCATGTCTAGATCTAAGCTTTTGATATTTGACACATTTTAAGCGAAAAGCACGAATCTGATCTGCTCTAGAAAAACTACTTTAATCTCTTTACCCCTTGTAAAATACGCATTATCACTTGTGAAAATTCTTCAACACCTCTTTGGATTCGCGTTTGCAGACTCAGAGGACCACCTCCGTTACTTTTTGAGACTAACATGAGGATACACAGCATTGTTGATTTTTTAAGATATTGGAATCTACTGCGGTTTCTTCATTTTGCTTTTTATTTTTGTTTTTGCAGAAATCCGAGAGCTCTGTTTTGGTCTTTCTCTCACCCTGGTCAACACTTACCTTAGATTATTGCCAGGAATAAATATAAAAGGGATTTTAAGAAAGCACATTAAATAACTAAACCTGGAATCGGGACCTGGTCCAACGACCAATTGAGAACGAATAAAAGCGGCATGTGGTTCCCATGTAAAAGAAAATAATTTTATGCTTGTGCTTTTAACGAGAAAGCAATGGGCGGAACTAAACAAAATTGACTTTTGAAAGGGATAAGAGCTTATGTGTTGTATGCAAGAAGTACATGTATACATATTGCGTCTAGATCTAATATTTTAGACTGCGGCGGAACATATTTATTTTTATGTTTTTGCCTGGGCTATGCTTCGGTGCCTTTATGCTTATACCATATGACATGAATATTGCTTTTGTATTAAATGTCTGCTATTTATTAGTACCATGAAATGTCTTCAATTTATGTATACTATGATATGTCTGCCATTTTATTTATGTCTGACATTTGCATTGCCATTTTAAGACATGTTCTTAATTGTTCATTAATATTAATGATTATAATTATGATAATGACACTATTAATATACTTTCACGAATTAATATTAATGGTTATTATTATGTTAATTATAATATTAATATACTTTCACAAATGTAATTTAAATCAGAATTTCATATGGTGACCAAAATGTCTGAAACACAGAACGGCTGGAGTGGTAAAATAGCGGAACATGCTAGTAAGCTTGCTATAATGTCGACTGTTCAATACACTATAAAGCCTACACAGATGTAGATTCCAAGGTACCATTAAAAACATGTAGTTCCAGTAAGGTTTATTTTGCATTTGCCTCAAAAGAAAAATCCTTTACGGTCCGAACTGGGCCCCTTTTTATTGACCCGAAGCTTTTCTTTTAATAAGTGACATTTCCAAGTAACTTTAGGTTCAAAAATTATACTAGTACATTGTAGTTTCTATTTTTACAATCTAAGCAATAAAAGTACGTATCTGAAGATTGAGCCGTTTAATATACTAAAATGCGAAAGTCTCCTCATTAATGTAATTTTAAAAGAATAAGATGAATGTTAAAATAAGAGGAATGTACATTTTTACGGTGTCATGTTAGGACCAGCGCGTTTCTCTGTGAACGAAACGCGCGAAGCACAAAAAAAACAATGGTTACAGTACGATGGCGAAGTGCACAGTACGAAATTGGCAGTACAATGGTGACAGTACGACAGTACAATAGCAAAGCACAACATTACAATGGGGATTGTCCATTGTACTGTCACCATCGTACAATCGCACTGTCACCGTCATACTGTCACATCTTTCTGTCGTATAGTTACCATTTTTCTGTCGCATTGTTACTTCTCTCCCCTGTAGGTTCGAGTCGCGTCAGTGTCTTTGGATTCTTTCGTATGATTAAGCTATCCAGCTAGCTTACAGAACGTCTGTGTTTCTACTTATGCCCGTTTGTGTGTGAAATAATGCACAGTGGGGCACTTGAGATCACAAAGTTTATTTTTGAAGTTGAAATCATGACCTTGTGTTCTTGAAACCGTGAATTCATGGAATGGATATAGTGAAATGACAATTTCATCTTTATCAATTCATTAAGTAATAAGATGCACTAATGAGAATTGCTTGATATTTCGTTTTAAAGTATTCTGAACAGGAAAACAGATTTGATCATATGAACATATAAGCATTTAACAAGTTTTTAAATCTAAAAGTGATGTAAAAATATATCTAGTTTGATCATTTTAACGTGTCTTTATTCTTCATTTCTTTAGTCGAGCGGAAGATATATGATATTTAAATAAATCAATAACCAAAACATTATATGACTCAAATGCTATAACTCCGAAGAGATATTTTTATTTTTATTCATCTTGAGTGACAATAAAGGGAGCATGAAATTAGATATCTGTTAAGACATTGAAACATATGTACATTTTCCAATATATTTTTCGTGTAAAGATGAACAATAAATTAGCAAAGGCTAAACACTTGACATTAGCAGTGTCACTAGACAGTGTAGTTTATCAACACTTACATATGAAAAGAAAACAAATGAACAAACAAATTAAGATATTGAAACATTGATATTAGCAAACAAATGTATAATAATTATACAGTCACTATGTGATAATTATCGATAAATAAGATGTATGATACAGAACATGAGTTTATTTACATATATGCCGTTTTAATCTGTCAATTAATCTAACGTAAATGCGCCCAAAATGAAAATCAATGATCAATCCATCAAATGTCACTGCACAAATTTGGTTTTAGATTTTAAAAACTTTGTGCATATATATCTTTTATTTGATTCATAAGATCACGTTATTATCATGATATTTTGAATTTCTGCAATTTCCTATTTCCAGGACAAGCATTTGTAACAACAATAAATTTTTTATCACTTGAGACACATACTCTATACGGATATGTCATATCTAACTTGTACGATGATAAGATCTTTCCTGTTTGGGACATCTGTACCATGGTGTTTGTTTTAAAACAACATACAAGGATAGAATCAGAGGGACCAACTGCTGCACAACATGGATCCTGTATCTGGTCATCCGTCACTACGACTCTCTTTGTTTTGAAATCAAATAGGTAGACAGTATTCTCGTCTCTATCAGTTATCACCACTTTGTCACTGCTCTTTATGTAAGTACTTGAGCTTTTGCCTATAGGATATGTCTTGTTTGGAAAGTTGAAACTAAGATCATGCTCCTCTCCAGTCAATGATACAATACGAACAGGTTTTGGTTCACCATAAGTTCCTACTACAAACTGTCTATCATCTTTTAAACATATAGTGTCATATTTCGTTTTCACTTTACATGTCCTTCTTGAAGTTATTTCATTGCATTTACTAACATGTAGAAATTCTATATTGTATCCACCACCATTTGTTATCGCTACTTCCTCCTCAGATACTACAACAACAGATAATGGGTGGTAATATAGCTGATATGATCCTACTTTCTCAAGCTTCTCATTGTACACTAAACATTTCTTGTTTTTGTTATCCACAGCCACCAGCCTACCATCAGGTAGAAAATCTACACCAGAATATAACGGTTCATTGATATCATATCTCGTCTTTTTCAAACCAATAGTAGAAACTGGTGTTAACTTCATCGCCATGTTAACATAATTATCATCTTCCTGGTGATAAGACCTTAATAGTAATTGTCCAGGAACATATTCGGTTACTGGTAATGGTGGCAGTTTTAATTTTTCGTCAAAATGAAAAGAAATGTTCACCTTCTCTAAACTCTGACATTCCTCCTTGATGTTTCTGCATAGAGCATTGATTTTACTCTCCATTTTATGTTCTGCTATATATTTCTGCACTTGAGTTCCACTTCTGAAAATACTTTCAATCGTCTCTAAGCAAGATGTTACATCAACCAAATGTTTCTCGTTAAGTGCTTGTTTCTTCGACAAATTTTCTAATGTTTCTCTCTGAAGAGTTTCAGCTCTCTTGACGACGAAATCTTCTAAATCGTCAAACATTCTCATTACTTCGTCTCGCATTTGTCTAACCTCATCTTGTATTTCTTTTATATCTTGAGCAAGATGGTCTTTTGAAGAGCAAATATATCTTGCAATACCATCAGCATCTTCTCTAGCTTCCTTTAATTTCTCCCCTAAGCCAGAAACTGATGACGTTATTTTCCCCGCGATCTTTTCAATTTCTACAACGCTATGGCATGTTCGATGATTAATAATAGCACAGGTACTGCAGCAGAGCTTTTTTTCATCCTCACAGAAGAATTCAAAAACTATTTGATGTAAATCACACAGATCTAAGGTCTTCATTTCAAACAAGGTATTAGTACTATTAGCTTCTTTCACACTCACCAATTTATGATTATTCAAGATGGCGAAAACGTTGTGTATATTTGAACATTCATTACATTGAAATTCATTACAAATTGAACAAAACTTGTCAGCTACAGTTTCCTTTTTCTTACATAAACATGGTTGACAAAAGGTTTCCTTCACACGACCAGGAACTTCATCATCCTCTCCTATTTTACTTCCACAACCCGCCATTTTGTTTAAAGATGCTGTTGTCAAACCTTTAGAAATTTTATTGGGTTAATTCTTTTAGCAGCACTGTAATATCGCTCCAAATTCATTCTTTAAAACATTAAACCATCTCCGACTTAAAATGATTAAATAAAATAAAGTTTCATGATTAATTATCTGATATCTCATACGTTATCTGTCATATGATTTCAATCACATGATACAATATCAACGATATTAACCCTGGATAGTATGTGTGTCCTTGATATTCCTTTATTTTAATTTTGAACATGTAGGCTTATAAATATCGAAATACAAAAGTAATAAAGTAACAGAGTAACAGAATCTGGTCAGAGTGCACGGATGTGCATGCCGGTATGGCTCTTTACTACAGACAAAGGCTCATTACCCTCGATTCAAGCAGATCAAGGTTAACCAAATGATAATTAAAATTAAGCTTCATTCTGTACTTAAATATGTCAATCGAATATTTGCGTCAAACTTAGATAAGAACCTCGAACACAATAGTAAGAATACATAAAATGGATGGTATTACGGTAATTCAGTCTATCCTACGCTAAGAAACTTAACATGTCAACAAAAAGTAGTTTAATGCTAGGAGGTGTTACATTACAAAGATGTTCCGATTGTAATATGAAAACAGGACAAATATTGCCAATTCCTGCCATAGATTTTTGAAAATATGTCATTTTTTATCAAGAGCGAAAAAATAAAATAAGTATATAAATACTATACAAGTTAAAAAAAGAATTAAACACAACATCATACAACATGACAACAATAAAGCGATATGGTTATGATCAGCTAATATTTTTTGCAATATTTACCGAGAGCATCATGGGATTCATAGGAAATCGTTGACAATCATTCTAGTATACTGACTCTTATAACTCGCAGATATTATGATAACGCACATAGATAAAAGTTAAAAATAATCGGCATTTTTTTTTCTTTTTGACTTTTTTTAGATTAGTGGCTGTTACATCATTACAATCACAACAAAACGTTTCGAGGGGGTTTTTATTTTAGTAAAAAAAGATAAAAGATTTGTTACTGGAGAAACAAGACCCTGAATTCATATTCAGTGCCTTATCATTTTTCCACAGATGATCTCAATCAAGTAATTGTACTTTTGCAAAATCAATATTTGCTAGACGGTTAGGTCAATTTATGATGGCTAGCTGTTAATGAGACTTGTATTTGACCTTTTCAACTTGAATTGTTTCACTATTCCTACTTTGATACTGTTGAATCAACTTTGGGATATGTTGCCTACTTTTTGAATTGTCGTTTGATGTCTTATCTAAGATATTTGCCATACGCATTCTTTTAGTTGTAAATCATACGCTGCTTTTCATGGAACTACATGAAAGTGTCACATTGAAAAGTCCATGATCACCGCCATATGAATACATCCGAGGGTGACAATAAATTACAAATTTCGCCATAACCATGTTTAAATGTTTACTTTGGCTTAAGTCGGTGTTAGGGTAGATGGGGCGTGGGCAGTTACTTGCACTTTCCAGTATCGTCCTCGAACAGGCTTAATTTAACCGAGCATGTTCCGTTTTTGACGTTTTGGGCGTTCTTTAGGGATTCTGTATTTTGTCTATTTTGTCTTTACGTTCGTGCAACTTGATAAACACCTGATCCTTCAATAAATTATTATCTATAATTACTGTTAGTTTGAAGTATAGCATACCATTTAATGTAAATACATACTGTTTATTTTTTTTATTTATATAGGTTCCTTCTTCCACAGCAAAGCAATGGCAGTGTTGCAGAATCTAAAAATCATCCTTGTAACGTAAGTGACATTATCCTCATCATTTATTTTTATTGTCAAGTTAAGTTGAATTCACTGTACGTATCAAACGATTGACTTTAATAAAGGTGCTTGACCGAAAGTTGATATTGGACAACGTCGTTACGGATAAAATATAAATATGCCTTACGTATGTAAATGAACGCTATAGATAAATTTCGGTGGATATTTACAGACATTTCCTTGGACCATGTCAGCTAATTATCGTTCATACGAAGAAAATTATCAATCTGAAAAGAATTATGACAAAAAGTAAACTGGTCTTGGCTTTCACCTGTTCGTTTTTCTATATACCATTGTTTGTCCATAATGTCACTTTATCACTATATGCCATATTTTATTTAAAATCGTTCCATGGACCATTTATATGTTCTAATGCAATTCATTTTGTTTCACGGTATTTTTTGTCGTTTTGTTACATTAATTACATGATATTTTCTAATAATAAATGATATTCTTGTGGAACTGGAGGTTTTATTTGAACTTGTTTGTACGTTTGAGTATTTTTATCCTTCTGAACGCAAAGAAATACAAAATTCATCCACTTTGAGTTATATACTTCAGTACTGGTACTGAAAGAGAGATTTTATTATCATATGTGTAAAAACATATCTGAGCTATCGTCATCGATATTAAAAATTTACAATACAATTGTTCCTTAAACGCTTTAAGGCTCTTCACATGATTATTTATAACTTTTTCCGAGATTCGTTTAATACGAGTATTTATAGAATTTTAATTCATTGCTATACATATACATATTAAAATTTATTTTGCAAAATCATCAACGAATATCAGGATAATCTAGACATTTTATTTTACATATAATACATCAATAACACATATATCATGTATATACATCAAGCAATATGTCATATTCATAAATGTTCAAACCTAGTTTATTAAAACAAAAAAAAAGAATTTAAGCATTTATAAGCAAAACATGAAAATGTTGGTTAGTTAGAGTGATATTATGCTCATTATTTCACTGTCAAACTAAGACAAATTTAATTTAGTTCTATAGTTCAAAAGATTGACAATTTTAATAGTGTTTGAATAATAAATGAAAAAATGAAAACGACAAATATTAAGGATGAAAACAGCCTTAAATATAAAAGGACTGCCCCACTCTTTTTTTTATAAAATGAGCATTACTGATAGTCTCCGAAGAATATATGTAGATATTTGTGTGAGTTATGGGTTATAAATTACTCAGATGACGTGTATTATAAAATTTGGAAACAAATATAATAAAATGTAAAGTCATTTTTATTTTATCTAAATACTCACCAATTTCTCTTATATGGGTATAATGCCACTTAAATGACATAGACGAACTTGTCTTCTATAGTTGTACGGACAGAACACAAGCCAAACACGTGTTGATATTGTTTAAGTTCGCAAAAGTGTATATTCAATAAAATAAAGAATTAAAACTATTTGGCATTGTCCTCTCATCACAATTATGACCAGAAAGACTTATGTGATAAGTTATTAATGAGATAAAAAGTTTCATGCAATTCAAAGTATCACATCAACACAAATTCTGCCTCTCATTCGATGGTGAACAAAATAACCTCTGAATAATTTTCAAACCAAAGATGACAAATCTATTTTCCCAAAAAATGTTATGTTCTTCAACGAATTAAAGAGACTCTACTGAGGTTTTTTAACATGACGAGACTGGATATGATTTTTGAGAGCGGTAAACAATCTCTTTGATATAGGTCTAACCTTGTGTGCCAAACTTCAGATCATTTGCTCACTCAGTTTTTCTACAATCATTATTCTTTTTTGTGGAAAAGGACTTAGATTTGAAAAGCGTTCCAAAAATAGGCTAAAATAGCAGAAAATCATATTTTCAATTTATTTTTGAATATATATCTACAATGTCGTTTGGATATTTGCCCTAGCTGATTATGGAAATAAAAGTTTATGTTTTTTATGCTCTCGTACCTCAGTGGAGTTCCTTTAACATCTGTTAGTTACCTTCATGGCATATATTACGATAATTATGTCCAGATTATTTTAACTATAGTAAGTTCCATACAATTACATTTCTTAAAATTCTCGAAACAAAGTGATCCCTCGGAAGCATAAATTACAACAAAATTACAAGAGAATTGCAGACTCGGTTTGATTGAGTCTGTACATGAGGGATAGTGAATATGTGCAACATCCCTCACGCCCCCTAGCACCGGCTTGAGCGGTTCTCAATTCTGAACACTTAATAGTGCTGGCATCAATGATCCCGAAGGTGCAGAAAAATATAACAACACTAAAGTGTTATTATTTTGATATAAAACAAAAACGGTAAACACCTTTTGCATGTTTAAAACTTAAAATGTTCTTGCATGTGTTAGTTAAGGCGATTCCTGGACACATTTATTGCCTCGACGCTTCTTGTTTAAGTCTATCCCTCTCAGCGGTTAATGCTTGTAAAGTTGTCTCCAGTTGGTCGATTTTCTCATCAATATCTGAGGTACCGTCGGAAGAATCGTAGTATTCGTCGGACACTGTAAGAAGTATACTATAAAAACATGCAATACATATCAAAGCAAATTATGTATATTTAATATCATCTTTTATGTTTTATTTTTTTTATTTATATTTTTGTTTAGTTGCTTGCTTAGTTATCAAAATGATTCAACACCTTATCAACAACTGTCAAAATCATTAACAATTAAATTAAAATACTCAGATAAGTTTGTCTTTCAAAGCAATATGTATATATATGAGCTTGAATTGATCATTAACTTACTTTTTTCCTCGTTTTCTAATGTTGTTAGGAGATAGTTGCAGATTGTCTTAAATTCTGGTTCCTTGCTGTCTTTGGCTTTCATTACTAAGGCATATTCACCGTCACTTGGGACACTGCAGTCAACCTGGAGCTCGTCGGACTTGATATTTGTCTTAACATATTCTAGAAACACAATTAAAACAAATTTTATTTTTAATTTTAACGATAACATTGTTTCCCCCAGACGTCGTAATAAATATCTTTGTTTCTGACATCGAAAACAATCTGAGATATGTTTGTTATTTGTATAATGTATATTTGCTTTATCAAACAAATTTGAAAATGAAAACGCTGAGAACAAAAAAAAAATAACCTTCTTAGAGTTGAAAGAATTTTCTGCTTATGGATATGTTTGTTAACACATAGTAGCTGTAAGAATTTTTCACTTTGGATGTGTTTGTAAACACAAAAATATTTTTTTATAGCCTTAAGAATTTTCCATTTAGTTGTATGATTTAAAAGGGATAATCACAGTTTTTCATTATTACATGTAGCTAAGAATCAGCAATTCAAACTAATTAATACAAACAGCACCAGTGGAAAAAAATAACCTAAAACAGCTCCGGTGTTCATGTGTTATACCTCCCCATTTTCCTCTTATTTTAATTAATAATTTGGAAGAAAAGGGTAGACTTTTGCAATTTCAGTAACTAATATCTATTTGGAGAATGTGTAGGTATACATATATCTGTCGTTATATGATCAATTTTAACAGCATTTTTTCGAATGTAATGTTATGCACTCCGTCTTGTATTCGAACTTAAGACCTCTTAATCATTTGAGGGAAATGAGGTAATGCTATTTCATTTTTGTAACACAACAAGGACGTAAAATCACTTTAAACAATTAAAAAGGATAGTACATGTATCTATAAATTTATTGGTGAAAAAATAAATTTTAACTTGTTTTTGCACTCAATATTAATACTAATTCTGTATAATTATATCAGGCAAAAACATTTTTTAGTTGGGTTTCTGGTGAAACTTAGCCTGGGATTCCAGCGTTGATAGTTTTTGCTTATTCATAACATACGCGCTATTTCGTACTCGTTCGTGCTTTTGATTGTGTCAATTTGGAAAACAGAAGCACAAAAAAATCGACAGACTGGAACCCAAGCTAGGTGAAACTGACTATTTCAATACTATATTGTGATTGTCAATTTTTAATTAGCACAGGTACAAAATGGATGTGCCTTTGTACATGGCTTAAACATGTGACCTTAATTCTGTCAATTAGATATGTTCCTCCGCAAGAAATAATTTAACGTTTTTGCCAAGACTCCAACCTACAGAGGCAATTTTACCTTAGGGTACAAATGATTTGAAACAGGCAACCTTTAGCCATTCAACCATGAAAGTAATTACAGTTGACACTCGTTATCTTGACTATCCAAAAAGGCGTGTCAAGATAATGATAGTTGACTGTACAAAAAAATATAGTAACACTGTAAGAAAATATTTTTCTACTGGTCGTATATTTTCTGTAAATTAAACAAACCTGTTTATAATACAAATTTTATAACTTTACATATTTTTTTGGGAAAAATAAATTTTCTATTATCACACCTGATATTGCCCTGAATTTTTGTCATTATATATTACTGGGTTATCGTGAATATTAAATTCTTTGAAACATGGCTTGCTGATAATGCTTTTGATGCAAAGCTGCTTGAATTAATAAAACATATTCAGTCAGGATCATCTACATGTTTTATCTTTTTCATTGCTCTCCCAAGGAATCTGGCCATTTCCAAAGTTTGAAAGATACATGCTAACAAAATTACCTGAAATCCAGTAAGATCTGGGAGTGTGACCTGTATGTCTACAGGAGCCTCAGAGAATCCTGGCATCTTGAAACAGCTCATCAAGTTCGTACTTTGTACGTTGACAGTGGGACGACTTTATAACCCTCCCCATACTGACCAAGGTCTGCTCTTTGTATAGTCATGACCATACCTAGAAATTAGCCATATGATTATAAATGATCAAATCATAATCCTATATTTTTTATTTTTCATTTTCTTCCCTAATTTACATAAGTGAAACAAAGACATTTAGCTCTTGTCAATGATAAAATGATATCAGACTATCAGACACCTATTTACTTTTTGTAATTTAAACCCATGTCACACTAGGATGGCATTCTCATGACGTCCAAAGAAAATTTAAAACATTGAAGTGAGCGCAGTTAGATCCTAAACATCGCCGTAGCATCTAGTGGCATTGCATAGAGCACTGACCGATGGCGTACGTTTTGAGCATGCTCAAATCAAATTCTGTCACTTGGCATTTTGATAGGAGCACAGTGGAATAGCAGCAAGAAGCCATAGCAACTCTGTAGCATCTTCTACAAGGCAACAGGAGAGCCGTGAAAGCACACAAGGAACGCCGAATGAATGTGGTGATTATCCACAACGCTTGTACGGAGATTATGAGGCATCCTTAACGCGCTCATACTACCCTTTTATGTTTACACGGCTGTGCTAACGCAGTGAACGCGCAGTCAAGTGTGACAGGGCCTTTATTCACTAATATAGGGCCATATAACCGGTCAAAAATCTTTTAAATTACAACAAATTATAATATATTCCACTAAGAACCAGCTGTCACTCAGCTGTGTTAAAATTTGTACTAATTTCTTGGATTTATAATAAACTGTTCAATGAGCATGTCTGTAAAATATTTGATGTCGGAAGGTTCAATATTAATACAGCTCTCTGCTGTCTACATCTATCAAGTCAACATTTTAAACTCAGTTAAATGTAGGGTGGCAAAATCAATTGTCTATATTTCCCAGGTTGTCCCACAACCTGCACAGACAAACTTGTGACATTTTGTTTTCAAAATTTACTTTTTGAATATTGTACAGGTAAGTAAGGAAGGGTTAAGATATAATAGACAAGTACTTGTAAGTCAAAATTAGATTTTGCCTGCCCTGCATTTTTAATTGAAATATAGCGCATACCTCCATAGTAGTCAATCCTACTCCTTTTCTTTGTTGAGTCATACCAACTAGAGAAAGGTTCGTTGATTTCTGCATATAGAAGCTGTAGCATACCCTGAACACTGTAGACCTCACCCCATACTGGTGGATCTTCTTTCACTTTTACTTTGCTAGGTAAACCATAGCATATTCCTATTGCGAAAAGAAATTTTTCTATTATGACATATACATTACTCTTTGTCATATGGTGATTTTTGTAAGCGATATTACTAAGTAAATGGTGGTGAATATCACTATTAGTGTTCAGTCATTAAACTTCATAATTTAAAGTAGCTTTGGAGCTTATTATCCTCAATAAATACATGTCTATTATCATTAAATTATCTGCTATGGATATCGAAAATTTGCCGCTGATGTTTTGTATTGTATTATACATTAAAATATAATATGCAGAAGTAATATGACGTAAAGTTTGCAAATTAAATTCAACAGTGAATTGTATATAAGTGTGGATCAAGAAGGGGAGCAACTCATATAACCCAAAGTCACAAGTGTCTGTGGACACATCGAGAAAATCAACTAGATCTAATCGGTTAAACTAACTGAGACATGTGAACTGGGCTATTGTTAATGATGCCAAAACCATGGAACAGTATTCTTACTGGGGCCTAATATAAAATATATATATCATGTACATTTTTTTTTATTTAATTTCCATGTGGCAGAGATCGCCTTCAACTAAATGGTGTATGTGTGTGTTTGTGTGTGTGGCTGGGGGCGGGGGGGGGGGTTGTAACCCTTTGTCATATATCATTGACTTTCTAAAAATTTAAACATTTACCGTTTATCACATTTGTCCAAACCGCTAGATATCGCTATTCGCATTTTCAGACAAATGTAAATCTATACTGTAAAAAAAAATTAGCAAAATGCACTGTCCTTCAATGTCAGAAGGACTGGGACCATCAACGAGCTGCATGAACCTTGCACGTGGCGACTACTGTGGTAGTGGTAGCCCCCTCACAGACGATAGTGTTCAACATATATTTCAAAACAATACGTAAACTGGAAAATAGCCCATGTGCCATGTCAACAAAGACGCTTCAGTTTTTTCAAGTTTGTTTTTTGCAGAAGCCTGGAAGTCGCAAAATTTAATAGTTTCGAGTTTTTCAATTAGAAATATTTAAATAATCATATTAAATTGAACGAATTTTCTTACCAAAGAAAGCCAGTGCCGATAAAATTACTCCCGTCTTGCAAGCCGCCATTTTTTGTAATAATTTGATATCACATGACTTACAATTAAGTCACATGAGTCATTACACCGTCACGTGACATCCTGATACCGTAAATCAGCATTTTTTGTGGTGGTGTTTTTTTACTATTCCGTGAGCGACCTATAAATAAAACTTTGTTTGCCGACATATTTTACTTCTAGGCAAAACAAATGTAAGGCATGCATGCTAACAAAGAGAAAATAGAAAGTCAAAAATGTTGCACGCTTGGTTTGATCACGAATTTATATTGTATAAATCCGTGGTTTGATTGAACCCATTTATGGAAACTAGGACAGACCAAAAAAATACCAGTTATATTCTGTACCAGATGGACAGTACTGGAAAGTGCAAGCTACTGTTCACGCTCTCTTGCACCGACTTAAGCAGTATTCAACATTTAAATGCTGAAATTTCTAATTAAGAAACAGGGGCAGACAGGACAGGGTTAGCTGGTGGGGTTTTGGGCTAACATGTCGGTGGAAGATTTAGACAAAAACTATTGGCCAGACGAAAAGCGCCTGTTTTTGAAGATTGGGCCAGGATTTTGTGCATGTGACAAAAATGTAATAGACGTCCTCATCTTATGAGTGGCAATTTATTTCTTGATACTACTATTCGAGTTTTATTTGTCTACATTGGTGAAATTGAAATAAAGAATATAGATCTCACCAATGTACTGCAGTACTGTAGTGTCTGAAATTATATTTTATATAAACAGTCAATTTACTTCACAAATAACCAAATTTACAAAAGTAAATGTATTATTTGAAATACTGCTTTTTATTCTACAAAAGATAAAAAATAAAACACTTATATTTGATAAGCATTTTATTTTATCAATGAATCTATTAAATGCTTTAGATATTTAAGAGGTAATTACAATTTAAATTTATTCAAGGCAGTCTGAAATATGAAATATTAATGCCAATGCAGGTGACCAGCCCACATAACTCAATCGGTTAGAGCACAAGACTTGTAATCTCGTTATTGGGGGTTCGATTCCCGGGCTGGCCAGCTAAAATTACTAATCAGTCCTTCGGATGAGATTTTAAATTCAGGTACAGTGAATGAGTGCTAAAGCACTTGGCACGTTAAAGAACGAGGAGAAACTTCTGGAATTAGGTAGTTTTTCTTTAACTGTGTCCTCCAAAATGTAAAAAGACTAATACCTTTCTGGAGGACTTGTCCATACAGGAAACCGGTGGCTAGTATAAATAAACTCAAATACACACGGTGCTCAACAACCGGATGACAGCATTAAATGATTTGATAAGGGTGTACACTATGACTAATATTGCATGAAACTGACACGCGTTTATTCCAGCTCATGAACGTATCTTTGGGCTGAGCAGGGGTGGGTGCAGCTCTTAAGCCAGGGCCTATATCCGCCATGGAGAAACATCATACGGATATGATCATATAATCTTCAATGTGGCACTTTAGTGCCATTCCATGAAAAGCGACGTAACCACCCAAGTAAAATTTGTTTGTGCCTTAAACGAGAAAACTATGATCGGTACTAGAAGGTGGTCAGAGGTTATGAGGCCTATATAATAAGGAGCCTATTGTATATGTATTGCGTCTAGACATAGCATTTTTCCATAGGCATTATTGGGGCGTATATAAAGAGACATAAACGATTGTACAGTGAATAAATAGACCGGATTGGAACCTGGCCCAACGAACTATTGAGAAACATTTATTTTACGATTTACCCTGGGCCTTGCTCACATGTTATATAACATGACATGAGTATAACTTTTAGCCAAATGTCACCCATTTATATACCATAAAATTTCTGTTAATTGTATGTCATTAAATCGTTTGCCATTTATATTCTATGAAATGTCTGGCATTTTATATTTTGTCTGATATTTGCATAGCCACTCAATTTAAGATTTTAAAGCTACATGCCTCCAGATGAGTCAAAATATTTCAATGAAGTCAAACTTGAGAAAAATGAACTAAGATGAAAGGAAAAGTAAAAAGTTTCAAGATTCAAGTAATATTTTAAATATAATGTGTGATTAATGATGGATTTTTCAGTATTTATAACTACTCCGTTACTAACGCAGTAAAGGTTTTTTATGCATATTTTGACCACTTTTTGGTAATTAATGTGGTTTGTAAGTGCCATTGATAATGTGTAAATTGCTTCCTTTGGTCCCTTCACAATATTACACATTCAAATACATTTTCAAAATTTTAATGAAAATTAGCATGAATATGGAGGCGTGCTGCTTTAACTTTCATGAATTCACTATAATTACAAAATTATGAATTTTTTATCAAGAATTCTTGAAGTTGAAATCACGAATTTGTCAAGTTGATATTGTGAAACTCAAAACGTAAAATTGTTAAGTTAATTTCTTCAAGTTGAAATCATAAATTCGTGTTGTTGAAATCGTGAATTCGAGATCATTAATTCTTGCACGGTAATGTATGATATTTAGGTAAGGCAATGCAATTAGAATATAAAACTCAAATACTGTAACTCCGGTTAGTTATATTTATTCATCCTGATGAGCATGATAGTAGGTACATTGTATATGATAATACACAATAAATTATATACATTTTCTTACATAACTTTCATGTACAATCGTTAACAATAATTCTATACATATCTACTTTATTTTTTATATTATGATATGTCTTATAATAGAAAAGTCAACTGAGTATATATATATAAGCCGTATTAAAAAAAATTTCTAAAAGGGAGGAATTTACATGTATATGATATTCAGATAAAGCAATATAATTAAACACACATACTATAACTCCAATTAGTTATATCTATTCATCCTGAAGAGCATGATATTAGGTATAATAAAGGACACGGTAAAATATATACATTTTATAACATAACTTTCATGTAATCGTTAACAATAATTCTATACATATACATGTATATTATATTATGAAGAAAAGTCAACTGAAGCCAAAAAAACTGATGTAAACTTTATCGTTATTATAATTGACCTGCTTAATTATACAGTCAACATAATGTGGTGATTAAAAACATAAGATAACGATGGTACAGAACGCAACCACTTTACATATAAGCCGTGCTAAATAAAAAATTTAGAGAAAGAGTGATCCTTTAGAAACATTAATCACAATAGTATTGCACAAAAATGGCAGACTCGGTTTGAGTCTGTACACGAAATGTTAAATCTGTCGATTAATTGATGAATTTCAAGTTTATTGCTCGTCTGCTTAAAATAAAAGAAGTATATCAATTGAATATTTATTGAAATTATTAATATTGAATTGTTTACTCCTTAATCTATCTGTCAAAGCATACATTGACTTCATTTTGAAGAGCACACATTTTCCCCAGAATATTGTTGCATTCTATATATATTACAATGTCTTTTTTCGTTATAAGCAGCTACATTGGTAATAGACCATAAGTATAATTCAATGATTCATCCATCAAATGTCACAAATAAATTCTTGTTGTTTTTTTTAATTACTTTGTGTGTGTGTTTGTGTTGGTGTGTGTGTGTGTGTGCGTGCGTGCGTGTGCGTGCGCGTGCGTGTGCGTGTGAATCTTTTATGTGAAACAGAGAATAGTGCTGTTATGTTGATATTTTGAATTTCTGCATTTTCCTATTTCCAATATAGCTATTTGCAACAACAAGAAATGATTTATCACGCGAGACACATACTTTAAATGGATACTCCATATCTATCTTGTACGATGATAAAATTTGACATGTTTTGGTTATCTGTACAATGGAGTTTGTTTTCATACTACACACCAGGATAGTATCAGAAGGTCCAACTGCTGCACCACGTGGTTCCTGTATCTGATCATCCTTCACCACCACTCTTTCGTTTGTCTTGATGTCATATATGAAGACTGTATGCTCGTCTGTGCTTGTTATCACCACTTTGTCGCTGCTCTTTATGTAAGTACAATCGCTAGTGTCTATAGGATATGATTTGTTTGGAAAGTTAATACTAAAGTCATGCTCCTCTCCTGTCAATGATACAATGCGTACAGGTCTTGGTTCATCAATAGTCCCTACTACAAACTGTCTATCATCTTTCAAACATATAGAGTAATATTTCGTTTTCACTTCACATGTCCTACTTGAACTTATTTCATTGCATTTACTAACATGTAGAAATTCTATATTGTATCCATCACCATTTGTTATCGCTACTTCCTCCTCAGATACTACAACAACAGAAAATGGTCTGTAAGATAGCTGATATGATCCTACTTTCTCAAGCTTCTCATTGTACACTAAACATTTCTTGTTTCGGTTATCCACAGCCACAAGTCTACCATCAGGTAGAAAATCTATGCCTGTATAGAACGGTTCATCGATATCATCTCCCGTCTTCTTCAAATCAATAGAAGAAACTGGTGTTAACTTCATCACCATGTTAACAGAATAAACATCTCCCTGGCGAATAGACTTTAATAGTAATTGTCCTGGAACATATTCAGTAATTGGTAAAGGTGGCAGTTTTAATGTTTCGTCAAATTGAAAAGAAATGTTCACCTTCTCTAAGTTTTGACATTCCTCCTTGATGGTTTTGTAGAGAGCATTAACGTTACTCTCCATTTTCTGTTCTGCTATATATTTCTGTACTGGAGTTCCATTTTTGAAAATTCTTTCAATCGTCTCTAAATACGATGTTACATCAGCCAAATGTTTCTCGTTTTGTGTTTGTTTCTTTGTCAGATTTGTTGATGTTTCTTTCCGAAGCGTTTTTGCTCTCTTGACGACAGAATCTTCTAAATCGTCAAACATTCTCATTACTTCGTCTCGCATTCGCCTTACCTCTTCTTGTATTTCTTTTATATCTTGAGCAAGTTGATCTTTTGAAGAGCGAATATGTCTCGCAATACTCTCAGCAGATTGTTTAGCTTCCTTCAATTTCTCCCCTAAGGTAGAAATTTGTGAGGTTATTTTTCCAGCGATCTTCTCAATTTCTACAACGCTGTGACATTTTCGATGATTAACAATAGCACATTTACTGCAGCATAGCTTCTTTTCGTCTTCACAGAAGAATTCAAAAGAATGTTGATGTTGGTCACATAGATCTAAGGCCTTCATTTTAAACGAAAAACTTGCAACATCAGCTTCTTTCACGCTCATCAATTTATGATTTTTTAAGATGGCAAGCACGTTGTGTACATTTGAACAATCATTACATTGGAATTCATTACAAGTTGAACAAAACTTGTCAGCTACAGTTTCCTTATCCTTACTTAAACATGGTTGACACAAATTTTCCATCACACGACCAGGAACTTCATCATCCTCTCCTATTTTACTTCCACTATCCGCCATTTTGTGTAATGATTATGTCTTCCCTTTTTAGATATAACATATATACGTGTATATATATATTGAAATCACGAAGTCAATATTAAGCGATATCACAATTTTAGATACTTCAATGAAACAAGTCAGGGTTTTAAACTGATTAACTAAATATAATGTTTATGTCAGCCATAATATATGTAATATATTGTTCCGATCCAAACGTTATCTGTCGAATGTTTACATTACGTTGCTACAAACAATAGATCAACTTGGAACGCGGAAGTTAAATTTCCATGAAATCTATATTTAAATTATAATATGTCGAACACGATAGTGTTTACATTTTTCGGTCGTTCCATTATGATATAATGGGTTGTACAAGTTTTTCAATTTTTACATGTTCACGGTGTATAGCCAAAGTCAAATACGCGTTGCTGTTCATGTTCGGTATTTACTGCATATGACAAGTACGAAAAAGATAGTATATTTTCAGTATAAATGGAATTTTAAGGAAAAGCGGCAATGCTTAAGACCATCTTAGAAAATGAGCGTTTAATACGAGGGTGGTTCAATATGAGATTCTGTTCATATTTTTGAGGGTGGTTCAATATGAGACTCTGATCATATTTTTTATTTGATACATTCAAAAGTTATATACAATACATAATAACAAAGTCCATTTATTTCTGAATACAATATGAAAATATTAAAGTAATCCATATAAAACAGTTTTAAAGTTACAGAATTTATAAGAAAGTCACGTTTGCATTATCGCCCCTGCACAATGTTCAATATGTCGCGACGTTAGCGACGTCGTTCGCGCAGTTAACGTCGCTTTGATGTCGTATCACATTCATAGCTTTTCAAAATGCAGAACACATAGTTTGGTGGCGTGCAACCTACTGATTGATGATAATGTCTTCATGCCACTCACTTGTTATTAACTTTTTAATACCCACGGGGAGGAATCACGCCGTTCGTTATCCAAACAAACAAGATGGCGGATGCAGCCAAAAAATATGTTTTTCCCTTTTTTCTCTGAAATTCGTGATGTTCTTGTGTAAAGGTACATATAACAACCTTCTACACAATTTTCCTGGCACACTGAAATTTATTTCATGAGGTTTTGTCCCGTACTTCTTCTGAAATGCGCGTCACCAGATTCGAAGCGAGAGAATTTTCCACCGGTTTGATCGTGGTAACGTACGGCTTCTTCTCTAAAATTTACTGTTTCGTTTACATATATGTATATTAACTGAAATCACTGACATCAAAAAGTTGTAATATGTCGGCATCTATGCATTCATGCCCATTATGGCTAGAATAGCCTCTGAAAATATTAAAAACGGGGCATTTCCGGAAATGATAACGTATGGCGCACAAAATAACAAAGATAACGTACGGCGCATTTTTGTCTGCTTAATTGATTTTCTATATTAGAGAAAAGTTATGTTACCAGTTACCTGACATAAGAGGATGTGAAGAACCAAATAAAGAGACTGAATATTATTTAGTGTTTGCATAATATCTGTCATGTGTTTTTGTATCGGACAGAAATATTCGATTCGAGGGCTCTTTCGCAATGGTCTGTAACGATGCTTGTTAACTTACAGCCCTTTTGCAGGTGCCAGTGGGATGAATATTAAAATCCGATAGGTAATCACGAGTGAAATGTTTTCTTGCATATCATAGTCGAATATAGAGCAACTTTTCCACCTTTGGTGATCTTAAAGTTTCTTCAAAAGTGAAACTTGATCCCAAATTTCAAATATCTATGTATATGTTAGTGCTCATCCGTACTGTTCTATAGAAATTATAGATTTTGACGGGAGCGATAGCGACAGAAGGATGTTTTAATTTCTGTAGAACAGCTACGGATGAATACTAACATACTAAGTGTCAAGCTTTTTTGGCACTTTATTACGTCACTATGCTGTTCTATGAATCATTATGAAAATGAGAAATCGACTATGAAAGGAATTCGATAAAGAATCGTCTTTTGTTCTTCAATGAAAATTAACGCACATATTTTTTAAGAAATACACACTTTTATTGGGTGAGAAATAAAATTGAATGTACACTACATAAAGGTCTATTTTTCATAGTGCTTCGTAAAATAGACAAGTATAGTGACGAAAGAAAGTAAATGTTAATGAAGCCAAATAAAGCTTGACACTAAGTATGTTAGTATTCATCCGTAGCTGTTCTACGGAAATAAGAAACATTCTTCGGCTGCTATCACTCCTGTTAAAGTTTCTAAATTCTGTAGAACAACACAGATGAACACTAACTGATTAGTACGCTACTATGATAATACTGTTTACGAAGTATATGTTACTAACATATACTTTGTAAACACTATTATCATAGTAGCGTAGTACTTTTTACAGCTGTTCGTCATCTGAGCGCATTCATGAGCGGTATAGCTTTAATGATTTCAGACGGGTTCTCGGACATGGATAAAACATCGAAATCCAAATCCGATTTGAAACTTTATCATGGTCGGTAAAATGTTTACCGCAAATTTCAATGACACTCTTTTATTGCTGATACCTGTAATACTATTTTGTAAGAGATTGATTGTTTTTGTTGGGGCGTTTGCGAGAAAAAACGCCAAAATATGATAGGACAATTTATGAATTGGATGTAATTGTTTTGATCAAATCATTAATAATAAAAAAACTGTACGGATATGTCGTGCAAATATATCTGACGTCATAGTGGCACAACGTCACGCGAAATAGAAATCGTTTCGCCAAATAAACTGGAAATTTCTTATTTAATTAAACAAATAAATTTATTGAACTTTTCCGCAAAACATTATTTTCTAACAAATTCAATAAATTCAATATAGAACCTATACTCATTCATTATTTTCTTTTATGAATTTTCTTTTAATAAGCGACCAGATGGTATTAACACAGGCTCATCTCATCTGGGTGTAAGCTAGTCACAATCACTTTTCGTTTTCTTTGTTTGACGTGGTTCAAATATTAAGATTTTCTTATCAGTAATTTGTTAAAGTTATTTTGGAAAAGAAAATATATCAAGTCTTCCGTACCATTTTAACATTTTTTCTCTGGTGAATGCATTTCTTCTTTCTGATAAGGGGATAAGACCATAATTATCGCACAACACTGGCAAAATTTAATGTGACGACAACAATACATAAATGTTTCCTGAAAGTGGAGGCTTTTCTTTCCATTCTGCATTTTAAACAAAAATATTCTCAAACTATAAACGTGTGTTTTACTTGGTATATTTACAACGAATATCTACGAAAGATATTGATACCCGATGGTACAGCAATGTTCAATAATCTATTTCTAAAATGACAAACTTTTTTTTCAAATATCTATCATTTCCTACATACAAATAATTTATTATCAGCTGACTGGACGAATAGAAATCCACCAAGTAAAAAAATGCGCCGTACATTATCATTGATATTTTATGCGCCATACGTTATCATTTCCGGAAAATGCCCCGATATTAATATTAACACCAGTGAATTTTGCCAAAATTGGCATGAATGATTACTTGACAACATATTAAAACTTTTTAAAGTCAGTGGTTTCAGTTAATATACATATATGTAAAAGAAACAGCGAATTTGAGTGAAGAAGCCGTACGTTACCACGATCAAACCGGTGGAAAATTCTCTCGCTTCGAATCTTGTGACGCGCATTTCAGAAGAAGTACGGGACGAAACACCATGAAAAAAATTCTGTGTGCCAGGAAAAATGTATAGAAGGTTGTTTTATGTACCTTTACACAAGAACATCACGAATTTCAGAGAAAATAGGAAAACCCTACTTTTTGGCTGCCTCCGCCATCTTGTTTGTTTGGGTAACGAACGGCGTGATTCCTCCCCGTGATACCATTTACGGCAGTCTGTATGTGTTTCAGTGTGTCAAATTGCGCGCCCTTCAATTGAAGTTTAATATAAGGGAATATGGCGAAGTCAAACGGTCTCATAATACATAAATGCATTGTTTTATGACAGATAGGTGATAATAATTTCATTATTTAATAACCTTAATGCATTTCTTATTTACTGATAAAAATTGAAGCAGGAATTATAAATGTTTTAAATCTTGATTAACATATATTTTTTTTTATTATGCTTTTTTTATTTTGACCAAAACGGCGTTATGCTATAATTAAATTACTAAACTTCTGTTAGGATTATTCAACACTGAAATATTTACTTACTTTTCTCATGCTTAAATCACCGTAGGGAACGTGTTACAGTATCGCGTTTTTCGGTTACAGTATAGAATTTTCAAGATGGAGGATAATTTGTTGGGAGGACAGGTAGGTGATTTTTATTCTGGTCCATGCTACAAGTAGTTTAGTTTCTAAAAGATGTTTTTGTGCTTTGCTTGTAAGGAACAGAATCCGGTATCTAGTCATATATTTCTTCAGACCCTGCACCGCAGATTTATCGCTATATTGTCTCATAAACATGCAGATTTGACAGTTTGAAAAATTTGAATCGAGAGACCAACGCATTTTTCTCCAATTTCGAAATTATTTATGCATGCCTAGAAAAAATAAATCTGCAAAACGTTAGTCCTTTATGTTAGAAAACGTTTATAAAAGTAAATGACCAGTTGAACCTATTTTCCTGTTCGTTAAATGCGTTTGAAAAAATAAACAATGTTACAGTATAGAGCGAGGTGATTTGTGCAGGGTTACAGCATAGACCTAGCGATTTTTATCTGATTTTGTTACAGTTTATACCCAGATTTCGGTTACAGTTTAGACTTCGATATTTTCTATATATATACTAGGTAAAATGTATGAATGTTACTTAGTGTCCAACTTTATTTGTCATCCAATGAAAACGCTGTATTTCTTAAAAATTATGTGCGTTAATTTTCATAGAAGTACACAAGTCGATACTATATCGAATAACGTCCATTTTTCATAGTACTTCATAAAACCGCATAGTGACGTAATAAAGTGAATGATAATGAGGCCAAATAAAGTTTGACACTAAATATGTTAGTATTCATCCGTGCTGTTCTACAGAAATTAGAAACATTCTCCTGTCGCTATCGCTCCCGTCGAAGTTTCTAATTTCTGTAGAACAGCACGGATGAACACTAACATATACATAGACTTTTAAATCTGTGAGCTTATTGGCCCGATGGCTATTCGTCCGTCTGTCGTACACATGTGTATGCAATCTCATCCGCTCAGTAACTACTTGACTAAATGTGATGAATTTTACATGACTTTCTACCAATTAAGTTGTTCAAATAGTTTCGGTTGCAATCGGGG